TCACTTCTAGTTACCATCGAATTACCGTCGACGTCGTGATCCTACAACCCTAGAATCACCCAGAGATTCGGTCCCTAAATGCCCGTATCTCAACAACTCTCATCGCTTATTGCGACGCGGATTACGCGGGTGACGTGGACACAAAGCGGTCCACAACGGGGTACGTCTTCCTGATGTATGGGGGGCCGGTGAGCTGGTCGAGTGGGCTGCAGCCAACGGTGGCAGCCTCGACGGTAAAGGCGGAGTACATGAGCGCAGCGCAATCGGTGAAGGAGGCGCTGTGGTTCCGCAAACTCGGGGGAGACCTGGAATTGGACTTTGGGACGGTCCTGATCTACTGCGACAACCAAGGGCCAATACGGCTCCTCAAGCACCCGATCGCTTCACAGCGGTTGAAGCACATTGACGTGATTCACCACTTTGCACGGGAGCGTGTGGCACGCAAGGAGGTCGCGTTCGCGTACTGCGGGACGGAGGACATGAAGGCGGACATCATGACCAAGGCGTTGGCACCGGGGAAGTTCAAGAAGTGCAAGAGCGAGATAGGAATTGCATAAGTCATTAGTGTGTGGGGGAGTGTTGAGATTCGGGCATTTAGTGTGCGCGATCTCTTGGGTGACGTCGACGGGAGTTCGACGATAACCGGTAGTTAGCGGTTGGCGGTTAAATTAGCGGTTGGCGGTTAAATGCGCGCGGGTTACAGCGTTACACCCGAATGACTTATTGAGTAACCGCCGTAATGAGTAGGTTAGATAATAGCCGTAGATATTCAGATTTGCGCGAGATTTCCGGACTTGCTTATCCGCGGTCAACTGAGCCTACTAGGCTATCAGTGTACTCCTAGTCTCACAGTGACTCTAGGTAGTGTGACTCTAGGGTAGCGCCGCTAGACTCCGAACACTCCATATGTATTGTGTGAACTTGATCATTCGATCATTCATTCCAAACAACGCCGTGTTTCAATAGTTCTTGAGGCAGGAAGTTTTGATGGCTGACTTGACAAGGAAGGACCTATAATTGATCACCATTCTGGAGTGCGTGAATCGACACGCTAAATGGCATCCTCACCAGAGTTGTTCTCGTGGTAGTGCATCCGGATGCAACAGAAGGTCGGGCCAATTTGCACGGTCTTGAACACAACGCTGTTGTCAGCACCTCCCCTTGTCGGCAAATGATGCTGCACTCGAGTGGACCCAAATATTCAGAGAATGCTTGGACCATGGCAAGTTCAGCTAGCATGGCTGCAAATCTTCCGAGTTTGGTTCGTCAAGTAGTGTAAACACGTTGCTCAACTTCACGAGATTCGAAAGACCAAAGTTTGAGCGGCCCTGTCACCTTTCTTCCTTGACACACCACGGATCGTTCCAAGAACGCACTCCTTGAGCGTCGTATTGACTAATACCACTTCAAGTGCGTGCCTCTGCTTTCTCTGAAGCCGTTGCATAGATGTCGGGTAGTAGCAATTTTGACAAGTATCAATCAAAGATCTGGTCAAAAACTGCTTTGCGTGGGGCTCCTTTCCGAGCTGCTACGTCATTGTGGACAGGAGTACGATCTCTGGACCATTCTGGCTCATTAATCCATTAAAAAGAAGAGCGCAGAATTTTCAGCTGTTCAAGCTTAACCATCCACCTTAGGCAGAGATGGGAGCGGGGAGCTCTGAAGTCTGATGATGCCCGCCAATCCGTGCTCGAAACGCTCTATGGGCGCTTTGTTCTGCACCAAGTTGGAAAGGTCGTCAGACACGTATTGTTGATGGCGTCATGCGAGCAGTCCATCTGATGCACGAATTTGTGGGGTTTGCGACACACTGAAGTATCCGTCGAAGTCTAGCTAGGTACCACCCGCAATCGTCCTTTGTCTCTTTGATTAGAAACGCCGGAGTCTCACTTGTTCAAGTTGATGGAAATATCTCCCGGTTGGTCGAAATTCCGGATTGGGGTCGCTTTGGCTTGCGCAGCCGCTGAGCAGTACATACGCGTTTTTTCTGTAAACGGTGTGGATGACCATCACGTCGCTGTCGGTAAGATCTGCTGAGCGTGTGATTATGAGCTGTTTGTACCGAGCCTGTCCTTGATCAGCAAGTTCTCTGATGTCTTGGCATATCTGCATGGAGAAGCTTTACCAGTCTACAAATCCTGCATAAGTGCCACAGTGAGGTCTGCAATTAAAAGTAATTACTGCTGAGTTCCATGAAGAATAGATGCAGAACTTTGACCGTCCCTTGTCGCTCACCTCCGCCGTGAATTCACCCGCATCTCGTGCGTCTTGGAAATGTCCCTGGATTAGGCGAACAATTAACAGTCTTGTTTTAATGCCTGCACACGAATGTCATGCGTGAGCTGATCAGATGATCTATGCTTTCGAATCTGTATTTCCGGTGAAAGGAAACGCAGAACTTGCGCCTTTATGATTCTCAAAATACTTTCGCACCTTCGCCTTTCGTGTCATAGTACTTACACTTCAACTGGGAGGAGTTTCCGGCCTGCACATAATTCTACACATGATTGTGCACATGATGATTCTGCAGTGAGGGATTCGTGGGAGACTGCTCACTCGTCGTAGAAGCGTCGAGCTCAGTGATCTCATGCCAAGCTCCGTAGATCGACATTGTGCTTTAGCACATTCAGCAGAGCGTCAACGTTGTCATCCATGTTCCGTGTTCCATTCAGAGTGACGTCGTCTGCCAGAATTATAAACAAGTTGCAAGCCTGCAGACAAAAATGGCCGCACTAGAGCTGTCATGAATTGAGTTTCATAAAAGCTTGAGCAGTTTGTGAGGTGTTTAAGGGACGTGTCGTTGAAGAGGCGCCAGTTTCTGTGGTGTTCCCATTATTCCTGCTGCGATTCCACATGCGTCATTCAAAACATCAAGACAATTGAGCTCGTGTTTCCAATTCCTCGCTTTCATTGGCGTGGCTTATAGGAAGCGGCCCGTTTGAAGATACAGATTGCAATGCAACTGAAGAGTAGTTGGATCGTTTGAATGTCAGAATATGATCATTTGAAGTTGACCAGACGGATTCCAGCGTTTCGTTCCTCACCGAATTAAAGACTTCCATAAAAGTGTCGTCTGATGAAGAGGCTACTCTGATCCCCGAAACCAACAGATGTGCAATATACGGATTTTCCCGAGATGAAAGAACACACCTTGATGATGAGCCGTGATGTTGCATTATTGTCGGTCAAGGAGCAAACGTCATTGACTCTTGATTGGCGTGTGTTGTTAGATGCTTCTATGTCAGCTTCCATCGCAATATTGCTCGACCGCAAAGGTTGTGAGGATGAATTGTAAGTTTTTCCTCAAGGCAAAAGTCGAATAGAGCGGTAAATTTTCACCTCTGTTGAAATGTCTTCGTTGTCTGCTATAATAAAGCTCTTCCCCCCTGTATAGGGATTTTGCTTGCAGAACACTCAAACATTGTTTTGCACAGACTTCTGCAGCTTCGAAGCCAAGTTAATTGATTGTGTCTGCGAAGAGACCTCTTCCCAAATACTTTCTGCTCCTTCTCGAACAGATTTTGATCGCTTATTTGCCCTTGATCTAGCTACAAGTGCGTTGGCTTGCGTTTGCTTTGTCTCCATCCAGCCTGCGTTAATCGAGCTGCGGAAACGGATCCATTAGCTCATTCGATGTAAGCCTCGCACCATCGCAATAAGAGCTCGCTTCAAGGTGAAACTCGTGTTAGATTTGGAGTTGAACCAGGCAAAAAGGGCCCGACAGTGGAGAACATGGTGCTAGCTAATCTAGATTTCTAAGCTATGGTGCTAGGTCCACTAGCACAAATATGCGTTGTGATATGACGTTATTTGCTCATTTGCAGTAGAAAGGAGGCCTGGCAGGCAGGCCGGCGGGCGTACGCTTTCCGTGTGGTCCGAGCTCTGATGACGCTTGAAAGTGCAAAACGTAATGCAGAGGCAGAGACGTGCAAAAACATAATGCAGCCACCCTCGCGCGGCCGCGCCGTCGGTATCAGGCTATGTCGCGACAAGGGCCGCGCGGCCACGTGGTTTTGCCATCTGCGCATGTAGAGCGCCGTGCGCTGGCCAGCTTGATGTTGATGACGTGTCCATAGGATGGCGCTCAAATTGGCATGCAGCTTTCTATATCCGACTCTGCGTGAACCCAGTGGATTATCGAAGGCAGATAATATACATTGCTAGATAAGATATTTTTGCAACGGTAATCCAGACCACACGTGTCCCACCTAACTACGCCGGCTAAGGTAGGCGTGAGACTCAGAAGCTACATTGCAACAGTAGTGTGGGTGTAGCGGTAGCCTCATGTTTCACCGGTGGCCTCAGTGCTCACTTTTGTCATTGATTGCTGTAAGGTACACAATTCTTGTTTTGAGGTTGCACCCATTGCTCTGCTCTGTAAAACACTTTCTATGCTCAAGTCAGCCACTCACAGCATAGGAATGGCGCCTGTCTGTGGAAGAATTAGGTCGGCGGAGTCCATCGTGCTTGCAAGCGGAAGGCTTCGTGGATGGATGGTTTGGACAGGCATGTTGAACAGACTTGTTGGGATCGATCACATATTCTGCACCCATGTTAGGAGGACATTCGTACCAGAGCTGCCCGCTGGTGTTGGCCTGGTGCCGCGCTAGTGTTGGCCAAGTGCCGCGCTGGTGCATTGACGGGCTGTGTTATGGCTGGCGGAGTTGCCTCTGGGCACTGCGCATGTGGTACGATCATGCTGATGCCCCTGGTGCTCCTGGTCCGGTGTGCTGACTACTGCTCGGGGAAGCGACTCCCTTGATCAGTGAGTAAGTGCTTTCGTGAGTTGGAGATCTTTGCGTAGTTGTTGAGAACTCTAGCGTTGCTCTTATATCGAGCTGCTAGCAACAGAGTATACTGAGTAGTTCAGACTGGATGAGATATGCGTCTCACCGCGTGCATATATCACATAGAAACAATATCACAGTCTTCGTAGTCTTAGTGTGTCAACATGGCCTTGGTGAAAATCGAGACGTTCACAATTACAAGGGCTCTTTTGTGCATGTATATGACATAGGAACAATATTCAAAACAACAGGAGATTAGGTGTTAACGATTGCAGTTGCCTAGAAGGTCCTGTATGTGAGGATCCCACATCGAGCAGCGAAGTGCACTGCTTTTACGAGCGCTTGGGGATCTTTTGATTCTTGGCTTCACTCTCTTTCCCCCTCGGTAACCATTCGTTAATTCTATGTTGTCTCGCGGTCTGTAGGATGAACTTTGTTGCAATCCTTGCCGGCTCATGGTAATACCAAAGCTTGACCTCTCTAAAATCTAGGCAGATAATAGGCAGATAATACCTTTTTCTACCTTCACACGAGCAGCACGGAAAGGAGTCACTCTCTGCGGCATCATCTGAACCGGGGTGCGGTCTAAAGTTTGTCTCAAGAGTTTGTCAGCTGTTGAGACCTTATGGCCCAACTAACTAAAACCCCTTGTTGTCCTCAATAACCAGGTGCAGAAGGAGAGAAAGGAATCCCTTTCTGCTACATCACCTGAATAGGGTGTGGTAGTTTGCGATTACTCTTTCGCCTCGCAACACGGCTGAAGACAAAGTGATAAACACAAAGTTATAAACAACACAACGTAACAAAATCCCTCCAAACTCTGTTAATCCGTTGATCTTGACTTTTCACTGATAAGATGTCCTCAAGCTCCTTCCTCATCTCCCCTGTGTGTGTTCGCAAGTTTATTCCAAGCTTCTTTTGCACTTTCAAAAGTTATGAAACAATTTGTGTGTGTGTTTACAACACTCACTTTTGAAAGTGAGTGAAGCCTGAGTCTGTTGAAGCTCTGGCAAGTGCGGGAAAGATGGCGGCAGGCATGCGAAATGGCGAAGATCCTGCGGTGGGTTCAGCACGCCTAGAAGATGCTCCTGTCAATATCAAAGATTCTGATGAGGACAGCGATGGTGAAGGGGTGATGAGGGACGAGTGGGTGCGGAACGGGAACGGGGCGTGCTCGCTGTTGGAAGAGATGAGGAGAGCGAGGATGGTGTGGGGCGGAGGCTGGGTATGATGTTGTGGAGCGGGAAGAGGCCTCTGGTGGCGGTGCGCATTGAGATACGGGCATTTAGGTACCGAATCTCTGGGTGATTCTAGGGTTTTAGGATCACTACGTCGACGGTATTCGACAATAATTAGAAGTTGCAGTTACACGGTTAAATGCGCGCGGATTACAGCGTTACACCCGAATGACTTGGCGATAACCGTCGATATTGTGTAGGTTCGATAATGGCCGTCGACGTACGGCATAGAGTGAAATTTTCGAACTTACTAGGTGACGGTCCACTAAGCCTACTAGGCTAGAGTGTAGACCTAGAGATAGGCCGTGACTCGGAACCCTCCATATACATTGTGTGAACTTGGTTGATTAAATATCACTTCCAACAACGCTGTGTTTCAACAGTGCGTCTGAAGGTGCAGCTGTTACTACTGTCGGTGACAAGGCAGGGGTTCCGGCTGGCGATACGGGGGAACAAGGGGGCATAGAACCGGAAGTTGGATTTTAAGGCACGCTTGAGAAGTGGCGCCAGGAGATTGACTTGGGGAGGCGAACACGGTTGCAACAAATCATCCTGGTCCCTCGGGTGATCAAGCAGAGAAACGACCTAAGAGTGCCCACTGTCAAGTCGGACTAGGAGCCTGCCGCCACTCAGCTGGCATGCGTGCTTCCGCCAAGGATCAAAAAACTCAGGGGGAAGGAAGTGGAGGTTCCGGGCACCCCCCCTCGCAGAGCGCTGGGCATCACTCAAGGGGTTGTAAACCTGCTGGAAAGCATGGAGGTGCATACCATGGGCCTGCCGGAGTCAAACGGGTTGAACGAGCTCAGATGGCGGTTGATGGCGCGAGCGCAGCGGTGGTGCGGGATGGTGTTGGACATTGCATTCCAGCTGAAGCAATGGTCGATCCTTGATTGGCTGCCAGCCGGGGGGGAGGGGCCGAAGATTGTGCGGGGCATGCCTGTCGACCCGCTGCTGCCCCAAGATGTGCCAGGGGGCTACTCTAACGAGCTGAGACTCCCGCACGTGTGCTCGCGGCTTGCGATTGTGTTGCTCATAACCGGCATGCGCGAGACGTACAGCCGGCTTGTCCTCTACCTGGTAGACTGCGCCAGCTTCATCAACATGTCCCAGACTCACGATCATG